ATAGCCCATGAGTTGGCGATTGGCGGAGTTAACTAGTTGTCTTCCCTCTAGTCTATCACTTGAAAATTAGGGCCGACTAGCGTCGATAGCCCTCGAGTGGCTTTGCGAGAAATTCAATAAAACAGACGAACAGACTCACTAATTCTCGCTGTCCAACTCACTAAAACTTTAACTGACACTGTTAACTAATTAATGTTAACTCACTCAGTCTGGTGTTTGCATATTGTGCTCTAGTTATCGAACATTCGAGATTCCATAGAGACCTAAATCTTCACGAAACTTTTAAACTTCACATCATTATTATGTTAAACAAAAACAGTCCCTCAAGTGAACAAAACATTAAAATACAAAAGCAATTTATAGACACAACATATGAAATACTGTGATTCCCACAGCACAGCAGATCATAGCATCGTATGTGCAGGACTCGCTTAAATATTACTAAGTCATTACCAATTTCAAATATTCTTGTTGTTTTGAACAGTTTTACTGAATCTTTCTAGTTTTGTGAGTGCTATGTAACAAAGGACACTGCATACAAGTTGTAAACTTGTGTAACTCTATGTTTGTATATCACCTTTTTGAAACATTTTCTAACCTATCGAGCATTATACACTTTAATATCACACCTTCTAAGAATAAATCTTAAATATAGCGCGATTTCTTTATCATCGGTTAATATTTCATGCAAGAATAAAGCGTTTTATGTGGAAATATCAACGCATTCGAGTAAATGAGTCTTTTCTTCTCCCCTCCCCCATCCCCCGGTGAGACAGTGGTAAGTCTACAGACGTGCAACGTTAAAATCCGGGGTTCAGTTCCCCGCGGTAGTAACAGCAGATAGCCCAAAGTGACTCTTTTCACAACAAATACTATGTCTAATGTGAAAAAGGCAAAGGAAACTAAATATCTCAGTGGTTCTCTTGCTTCAGGTCAGTCCTTGTATTAAACACCTATTATGTTTGGGTACGTTTTATCACTTAGTATAGTCATTCTTGGCTTAAATAAATGACTTAAGTTCCTTCTTATAACAGAAATATATATATAAGCATATGAAAGACAGCACGGAGAAGCGAACCTTCGATAATTTGAATACTTTGTTGTACAGTAACGATGTTTGTCTGCGATTTGACTGATGATTGAGTGCGAAAGTTATTGAATTAAACATTATACTATTGCATTACAGTAGCGTTATTAGACTTTTTTACTACGAAATAACAGGAATTTTGAAGTGCAATGGCTAATCTACGAGTGGACACCAGATGCAAGCTAATAATAATTTCCTTTTAAACTGCAATCATCATGGAAACGCAATCAATAATGACGGAATCAGTCATTTTTGACTGTGGCGACATCTTGTGACATGTTAACGATTGGCATTAAATAGATATAAATAATTAAAAAGGTGGCAAGCTAATAATAACTTCCTTTTGAACTGCATTAATCATGGAAATACAATCAATAATCATAGAAACAGCCGTTTTTGACTGTGGCGTCATCTTGTGACATGTTAACATTTGACATGAAATAGATATAAGTAATTAAATATTGCATTAATAATATGTATATGTTCTGATTGATTTCTTTTTCAATTAATTATTATGTTTTCTTCTATATAGTGTATATTTAACCAAAGGACTGGTATTTTCAACAATATACATGATAAAGGTCATGATTTAATATTGTAGAATACAATAAACAGAGAAATAACAATGCTAATTATATGTGACTTCTCCACAACCACAGTCAAATGTATCAAACAACGTTTTATGCTATAGCAGGTTATTTGTTCCACTTTACAAGCTACCTTACACACCGTAATACTATATATATATTCTTTATTTCGTACTCAAAGTGATAAGTGCGAGGAGAAATTAAATTGGTTTTAAAAGTGTGTTTATTATTATGTCTATACACGAAAATGTTGGTGGATATTGTTTTCACCCGATATGTGGCTTAACCTATAAAACACCGTTATAGCTGCAACTTTACAATAGTTAATTGTTTACTTCAAATTGTAGAGCAACTTAGAGTAAAATGAAATAAGTCAGTAATACCACACTTAAGTTTATAAGTACAGAATATTTCAAAATAGAGGTGCTCAGATGTACAGCTCAGGGCTGAAACGTTTAAGCTATAAAAAGTAAAACACCAACGATTATTGGTTTTCTATGTATATTGAATTTCAGTTAACCAAAGACAGTAAAGTTTATAACTTTTGGTAACGTACAGATGCTACTAATAATAATTGTAGCTACGTCAGTAATACGACTATGAGAATGTAGATTTATAAGATTTGTAACTTAGATATTCTTTTCGTATAACATTATAATTTTCTCAGTAGCGCCCTCTTTTTATCCAAGTCACAAAGAAATTGAGTTAAGCCTAACTTATATTTGTTTGTTAAAGGTTTATATTTAGTTTTAGTGGAAACTTACTGCATCTAGTAAATGATATTTTATCGGAATGCAACAGTGATAGTCATATTTCACAGACATTTAAAGAACCTTCTGAAAATGTTCTAACGTTGTATAAGAAGAATATGGAAGAATGTTTCCTCTGCTTGACACTGCCTAATTATCTTTAATAATGATTAATGTATTTATTGTCCACCGGATACCTCATTAAGTATCAGCAGACAAGCAGAAATCCTTTTGCTAAATGTATCTCCTATGACCCTATTTTACAGGTAATTGCTGTCTGCAAAATGTCTAGAATTTTCTCACTGATTCCTTAAGTTAGTGAAAGAATATTATCTGGTGATATAAATGGTTCAAATTGTCTATTTAGGTTTCTAACACTCGTGAAAATAGTTCGAAAGTGCGTGAGATTTAGATGGTTAGATTCAATAATAAAGCAGAAAAATATAGCAATTAGGACTAAACATCGAGTTAAGCATGTCCCGTTAACACATATCTGATGAACCAAAGGTTGCTTTGCTTAAACTCAAAAACATTTCCAGTGCTTAGAATAGTAATCACCACAAAAATATTGTTATTGTATGGCTTATAGTAAAACTGCGTGTTTTTAATCGAGATAGTTTATGGTTTTATCAATTAAAGTAACAATATGCTGTTGAAACAGAGAGTTTTAAATACATCCATTAAATTAAAACATGTTGCATCCTTAAAAAGTTTATATATTTCAGTTGAATTAAAGGCTTCCTGCATAGTAAAGAGTTATATATTTGAGATGAGGGAGCAGATTGGTTCTGTAGTAGAACTCTCTTTATCGAAGGTGGCGAACTGGATTATATTTTCTGTGATACCACAACATATTCCCTGCATTTTAAGACGTGGATACCATTTAAGAGTGACAGTCAATCCCTTAGCTTGGAAGTTGGGTGATAGGGTGTTGTTTGCTAACTGCCTTCCCTCTGGTCAGTTGTTCAAAATTAGGGATAGAAGCGAATAGACATAGCATCTTTGTCATATATACAAAATACTAATACAAATATTTTAAATTGATAAAAGGTATCCTCTATTTTGAAGAATTTAATAACAGTTTAATTGAATTAAATATGTTTAGTGACACTGAAAAGTTGCTTATCTTAAAACGAATTAAAGGCTTAATATATCTTGAGGTGTTAATTATTTCGAATTTCTTAAAGGCTAACTTTATCTTGAACAGCTGAATACTTCAACTGAGTTACTAGACTTACTACACCTCGAAGACTTCCTTATTTAAATGTATAAAATGTTTTCCGTGCCCTGAAGAGTTAAATAATTCAACTAAATTAAGTGCCTACTTTAACCTGATAAATTTAATACTTCAACCTGATAAAGATTAATTTTATCTTGAAAAATTAAATATGCTACCTTAATTAAAACTTAAGCTAGATATTTCTTTCCGATACCATAAAAGTAGGCTCGCCGACAGGGGGGGGGGGAAGGGAGCAACTGCCCAGGGGCCCAAGCAAATAAAACTTGCAAAACATCTTTAGGCTATATCTTCATTTAATCATAAAAAGCATAGTTATTTGGCTTTTCTTTGCATAGTGACGCTTGATACATTAAGAACGACTGAAATAATAATTTGAGTAATAATTAATATATACTTGTTACTCTATAGAAGTAATAGATATTTGTTGTTAATTCATTAACGTTTCTACGCTTATACTATGAGCTAAACACGGATGATGCTATGGAGTTGTCTTGTTTATGAGCTCATTGCTGCCCTAATTTTGGATCTTCTTTTAATAAATTCTTAAAAATGTTAAAAAAAGATTGAGAAAGGGGCCCGGCGAGGATGCTTGCCCCGGGGCTCGTGCTGGCTCTCGACGCTCCTGCTTAAAACTAACAAGTTTTGTTATTGTAAGGTCTAAAAATCTAAATAAACGTTTAATTTACAGCTCAAGAGTTATATTTTCTGACAATCACTATAATACGGTAGCATTTCTAAAGTTTTACTTGAGAAATGTCTGATTTCTACATATGAAAGACACCTAACTTCCAGCATTAACTTTTAATATTGAATTCAATACTTCTTTTATTAAATCACATAATGTGATGGTTCTATTACAATTTGAAAGATACTTTGAAACTAACAATCCATAAAAACTCAGTGTACGTTGAAAATGAAGTAACTGACATTTCTATTTGATAAAAACAACATTTAGAAAGTTATTAATGGTTTAAAAACTTTATGATAATAGAAATAAAAGGTTTAATCTTCTACTGAATGAAAAACCTATCTTACTAGCGAAGAGCTGAGCACCACACAAGGATCACTTGCGAGCACAGTTCAGATAGGTACGAACACAATATTGTGTTCGTATTTATCTGAACTGTGCTCGCAAGTGGTCCTTGTGTGGTGCTCAGCTCTTCGCCTCTAAGGTAAGTTTTTGTTTCAGTAGAGGGCGACAATGAAAGGCCGAACTATGCTGGATTGTGTTCGTATTTATCTGAACTGTGCTCGCAAGTGGTCCTTGTGTGGTGCTCAGCTCTTCGCCTCTAAGGTAAGTTTTTGTTTCAGTAGAGGGCGACAATGAAAGGCCGAACTATGCTGGCCAGCACAGTTCGGCCTTTCAGTGTCGCCCACTTGTTTTTGATAGTTTCCTGTAGTTGTCTGCAATAATTCAACATATTCTAGTTCATCTCAGATATGTATGTTATAACAAAATTAACAATGCAAAATAAAGTTCTAAGTAAGTCAACTCTATTCAGTAAAGAAAATTTAACCGATGCAATAAAATGTTATTAATAAAAGTAAGCTTGCCCAGTAAGTTTAGATTCCCGTATATTATGAAATATTCTGACTTATTAATCTCCATTAGCCTTACAAAACAGTATTTTTCCTGTAATTATCTCAACATACTTCTCTGTCATAGTTTCCTTGTATCTGTGTGGAAAAAATCGTTCCGCCACCTGTTTCAATTGATGGACAGAGTCTCCATGGGGGGCTCCACTCCCCCGAACTTTTTCACTATCAAAGTCACCAAATTCTATCTGAGAAAAGAATCACAAGTGAGTAGAATGTGAGAAACAAGAGAAATTATTGTACACGTACCAGCAAGAATGATTTGTAGTACATCTGTTTAACGTGAAATATCAATTTTTCTCTTATTGATTAAGAGCTCCTGGTGATCTGTGTACAGTGTACACAAGCTGCATATTATAACACACATCTATAATGTTCAGACGCGGTGTGCCGCAACATAAGAACATGGGGTTCGAAAGCTTTATAACACATACGTTGTTTGCAGAATGTGTGTATTATAATGCACATCTATAACGTTTATATGTGGTGTATCCCAACATAAGAGCATGATGTTCAAACGTTATACAATATATGTATAGTGTATATACGTTGTGTATCAGAAAACACCTACATAATGCTCAAAAGCTATGTTTCATAACATAGCATACAGTGTACAAGTTGTTCATGGCAACATATCTATATAGTGTTAAAACTCGTGTAACACAACATATGTATACAGTATTATAAGTTATGTATCACAACGTATTATATTCTTCGGGTAACTCATAATAAAAGAGAAACAATTAGATTTTTAACAATAGGTTAATTGGTGAATTATTTCCATGAACTTAGGCCTTAAATTACGAATTAACAATGTTTCTTTGATCCGTGTTCTTCTCTCGTCATTGGGTTGGTTTGTTTCGAATTTCGCGCAAAGCTACGAGAGGGCTATCTATGCTCTCTCGTCATTGAACTTGAACAGAAATGAGTGTATTACAATGTGAATACCACAATCTCGAATAATGTGATCTCTTATATTAGATCAGTTGTCACTTAATAAATTAGCATGTTCTTGTACACGTGTTTTTAGCCATCTGATGGTAGACCCAATGTACTTATAATTGTATCTAGGACATTTAAATTCATAAACAACATTTGGTGTTATTACAGACGATATCCTGTCCTTAAATCTAAAGTTTTGCAGTCACTGTTCTGGTCGAAAAGGTACACGTATATTTATCTATGGATAAGTTCTATAAAAAGTATATATAATTTAGTTGTTGCTTCACTAATATCGCATGCCTGCCAGTATTGGGTAGTACTATTGATATTGTTTTTTTTAGACACATTATAGATGAATTGTTAGACGCCTCCACTTTTCTTTAAACAATCGTGTATGGTGCTACAAAATTCACTGGAAAACCATTTTCTTTAGACAGTTTTTATTTTATTTAGTTCTTTATGGAGATATTCAAATATGCTAGTGATTTTGTAAGCGCAATGAACCAACATACTGACTACATGTTTCATGAAGAATAATGGAATAAAACTGAAAAAAATGAAATTTTAAGCCTGTAATTATCTTTTCATGAAATAATTCGCTTTCAGATTTTTCTTCATTGTTATGAATCAAAATGTCCACAAAAGCAAGATGGTGATCTTTTTCATGTTCAACAGTATACTTGATACTATGACGACAGTTATTGAGATATTCGAAAGATTGATTGACCTGTCCAAAGTCCTTGAAGATAACAAAAGTGTCATCCGCATAACTGTAATAATATATATATCGATTTAAAGTTATCAGGACAGTTCTTTAGTCATTCTTCTTCACGGAAACACAATAAAAAGTTTGGCAAAAGTAGACGCTAGTCTCGAGTCCAAATTTTAAGGTTTAATAAAACTGTATATTGTGCCAGTTTTGTAAAATCTCTGTATACCAACATCCTCTTAGAACAGACGTTACAACTAGCAACTGAATTAATTTATCATGAAGACAGGGAAAATGGACTACCCAATATTATTTTTCAGCAGCTATTGGAATTTGCTACAAAAGACTTGCATTTCCTCTTATTATTTATATTATTATTATTATTTATGATCAGATTGACGATGCTGTAGTGGGCTCGAGACTAGCGCCCTCTCTGGCCAACCTATTTTGTGTTTATCATGAAGAACAATGGCTAAAAAGCTGTCCTGACAATTTTAAACTAATACATTATCACAGTTATGTGGATGACACTTTTGTTGTCTTTAAGGACTTTGAACAGGTAAATCAATTCTGAGGATATCTCAATAATTGTCATCGTAGTATTAAGTTTACTGTTGAGCATCAAAAGAGATAGCCAGATTGTCTTTCTGTACATATTGGTACATAGCAGTGAAGATAAATTTGCATGTGAAATCTTCCATTGAGAGATATTTACAGATTTATATATTCATTTTGCCAGTTTTATTCCACTCAAGAAAAATTTAGTCAAGATCTTAACTAGTGAAGAAACAGCTATGCAAGCCTTTTCATAGAACTTATCCACAGATAGACAGACTTGCGTGGGATTTTTGCAGTAGAAAATTGACTGCAAAACTTCTTCAGATTTAAATGTAAGATACATTCTCTAATAACATAAAATATTATTTACAAATTCAGATATTCTAATGCAGTTCTAAAAATACTGTATCTACCATCAGATGGCTAAAAAAACATGCACACAAATATGTTCGTTTGTTAATTGACAATCTAGCATAAAATATCACGATATTCCAAATTAGGAAACAGTAACACATTCATCAGAAGTCTACTTATCAAAGAAATATTAGTAGTTTGTAAATTAAGATTTGACCTAGACTAAACTAATTCATTAATTGACTTATTCTTAGTATCACAGCACATGTATATAATGTTACAAGTTGTGTATCAAAACATAACATATGTAGCAAGCATAGTTTGAAGATAAACGTGCAAGAGTCTGCACCAAAACAATTTAACAAGTTTTCAAACTATGACATTTTGGTTATGAGGTTGCTACGAAATTATTGCCGACCTAATTCTACAAGTTTTAGAAACAAGTCTTTACAAGTTGAAACATGCACGTACCTGTGCCTTTAGAGCTGCAAGTTCTAAGGCTAAGTTCAGAGATAACGGAAACCTGCCTTGAACTATTTCTTCGTTCACATGGTATGCAGTAAGTAGCCTCTCTTTATCAGTTTCTGCCTTTAACATCTGACGAAAGCAAAGTCTAGAAATAGAAATGGTCAATATTTTATTTGATAATGCTAAATTCTATCATAAAATACTTTGATTTTCCTTTATTTGTACCATTCTAAATACAATTTAATATATAATAATATCGAAACTGACCTAATGATTATGATAAATTTAAATTCATTTCGTGACTTCTCGTACGAAATACTTTCCTAAATGTTAAAATAATTTTTACATTAAACAAATCTAATCAATAAGTGGTTTATTGCTGTTTTTGTTTCTATATTTAGTGAAAGAAACCTTTTCCTAGAAATGAAAATATCCCACATGACAAGATGCAAATGAAGCAAAATCTGGTCTTTTAGTTTAAAAAATAGTTTACAGATGGAAACACATTATTCCACAAATCCTCTTAAGGTTTACAACTTGTAATGTCGCTAGGTGCTTTCAGGGCTTCATAGTTCACGGCTTTTTGATGTTTTCTTGTATATCTCATGTTTTCTCTGGTAATTTTGAAAGTTTATTTTATTGTTATTTTGCTACTATTTTATATTATCATGTTTTTGTATTTTGTTATGTATAGCTCTAGTCTTAACGTTTGTTATAAAATACTTTGTCAAAAATAATTTAATTATTTCACCTTTCGTACTTTCATCGACATTCTCAACATCTTGTACAACATAATATCACATGAAAGTAACAGAGTTTTAGATATTACGTTGTTGCTTTACAGTTTAATTGAACGTGAATTCGCCAATACTCACGGGTTTTTATTTCGGCGCTTTTTTTACTGATATTTTTAAGGGTTTATTTTCATGATTTATTTGATACTTCCACTATTTCACATTTCGTAATTTTACTGATACCACCAGTTTTACGTTCTGTTTTGATATTACAAATGTTTGTGTTTCTATAGGAGTAGCCCGGCATGGCCAGGTTGTTAGGGCGCTTGACTAGCAATCTGGGGGTCGCGGGTTCGAACCCCCCATCCCACCAAACATGTCGTGGAGGCGTTATTTGTAACGATCAATCCCCCTATTCGTTGGTAAAAGAGTAACCCAAGAGTTGGTGGTGATGACTAGTTGCTTTTCCTCTAGTTTTACACTGCTAAATTAGGACCGGTTAGCGCAGATAGCCCTAGTTTAGTTTTGCGCGAAATTCAAAAAACAAGCAATCTATAGGAGTAATTTCATTATTCTTTTTTTGAAAGAGCTTACTACAAAATTCCCCTTTCCAGCACGTTTATATATGCATGATTTCAATATGATACAGTAAAAAAACTACAAAAAGTTACAGAGCAATGAAATTGAAGTAAAGATGTTTGACCGTATAAATTATAAAGAACAGATATTTAAGGGAAAATTATTTCAAAGGCTGCACTATCTAGTATACTTCACCGTGCTAATAACCTTGAGCAGTAAATGCAAAAATGAATTAAAATTAGATTTTGGATGCGTATGGTTTTGTGAGTTAATTTTGTATCTTTCTCAGATCGTATTTAAGGGTCCTGTAATATATGAGTCTTGTTTGATGCCACCAGCATAAAAACAAAAGTAGTTTTAATTTCAAACTCATAATGAGTGAAACTTCTTACCGGTTTTTGTAAGTCAATTTGACGATCTTCGTTGTTTCGAACTTTCCCAGATGTCCTTCCCGTAAAGCCTGTTCCCATTTCGATATGACATCACAGAGCTTTTACACACAAAACAAAAATGACACGTATTCAGTCAAAGTTAGAACAAAGATACTTGCTTAATAAACATGAACTTAAGTATAAAAAAACAACAACGAATGTTTTATCTCCTAATATTAAATTTTCTTACTTTGAATCACTGACGAAGCTTATAGATAAAAGGACATTTGGCTATACAACCTTCCATTATAGGAACTATAGGGTACCTTTATTAATTCATCAGAATGGTCAAAAGCTTTATTGAATGCTAAAACAGGAAACTTTCGCCTATTCTATATGTTTTATTGTTTAACTGAGGTTTTACGGAATAAAGAAGATTTAATTTTTTAAAAAGTCGTAATATAGAGTCTGTAGACTCTATATGTAGGGATGGCCAAGGTACTCAATAGGCATAATAGAAATATGCACGCTAAAAAATCAACATCGACAGAGTGTTTTACTTTAAAAGATGATTGCCACTAACTTTCATGTGTTTCTCTATCCAACATGCCTCCAAAACAAGGCAAGAAACCATCGCTAAGATACCAAACCAGAAAGTGACCAACCCGTCAGAGTGTTTTACTTTAAAAGATGATTGCCACTAACTTTCATGTGTTTCTCTATCCAACATGCCTCCAAAACAAGGCAAGAAACCATCGCTAAGATACCAAACCAGAAAGTGACCAACCCGTCAGATTGTTCATCTTTTTTCTTCTTGTTTCAGTTGAGATAACTTTACAACTACTTTATCAATATTATAAGTTTAATATTTAATAGTCATCGCTTAGTCGTAATTAATAGTAGTAATTAAAACAAATCATAATTCTAGTGTAAACGACGTTATCATTACCCCTTGAAGTTGGTTATTTTAGAGAAATCTTGTGTTCGTTTTAAAAGCTTAAGTACAGGGTGAAACAGGAATTACCAATCAATAATAGATGAACATTAGATAACTGTAACACGCAGAATACTCAATGCTTTGTACACTATACAATCGATGTCTTTAGGGAGCCAACCCCTATATTATGTATGAAGTGAAAGAGTTTGTTTGTTTGTAATTAAGCACAAAGCTACACAATGGGCTATCTGTGCTCTGCCCACCACGGGTATCGAAACCCGGATTATAGCGTTGTAAGTCCGCAGACATACCGCTGTGCCACTGGGGGGCAAAGTGAAAGAGTATGAAAAAATCAATACACATAATATTAAATTTTATTATACACATTCATAGAATACACTAACTTTCAGTCAGGGGAAAAAACGTCACAAAACAAGTTATAAAATCATTTTGTAAATGTGAAATGAGTTAGGGATGAAAGTGCCATAAAAGAATGCAAACAAGAATATAGGGATGATACAGCTATACAGGATTTCAATATTAAAATGTAATGTTATACTGTAAAATGCATACTTGACTTTAATATTGCTTCAGTTGAAAGTTATATATTCCTGAATGTTGATATGCAGTTTGTTTATCATAATATCATGGTCATGTCATGGTAGGCATCAACGTAGTGTAACTAAGAGCATAGGACTTACGTACAAGGAAAACCTAGTTGAGTCAAAACATGTATTGATTATTATAGACTATTACAGACTCTCGCTACGAAGTTGGTTGAATTGACCGACCTTTAACTATTTTATACTCGTGCATTTTACAGTGTAACATTAAATTTTAATATTGAAAGTCGTGTAGGGATGATATATGTATAGCTAGCTGTATCATCCCTATATTTTTGTTTGCATTCTTTTTGGCACTGCTATCCCTACATCATTTTACATTTACAAAATGTTTTTTATTACTTGTAATTATATTATTATACTTATCTGTCTCACGTATTGCCAAATTTTAATTTTTATTCACACATTCTGTTCAAGTCCCGAGATTAAATTTCACTCTATATCTAAAACTGTAAAAATAAAGTAAATTACTAATCTTTAAAGACTGTAATCTTAACCCGTTATGCAAACGGAGGCTAGATTAGTGTAAACCGTTCGTTTCCAAAGTACAAATGAAAAACAAACAATAAAAAAACAAAAATTTTAATTCTTTAACGGATTAATTACGTTTGAAAGAATTTTACATACGTCTTGGTGACAGTTCAATGATGAATATTTTAATGTTTTTCGATTTTTTTTTAAGTTCCAATAGGGGAATGTGATTAGGAATCCGACTTACCTATAAGGTTGGATAAACACTAACCTCCATCTAACTCATTCAGATAAAATAAATGCTATATTTAGCAACTATATGAATTAACTAATTTTATTATTTAAATGTTCTTGGCAGAGAGAATTGCGAAGGGTATGTGTGTGTGCCATGCGCAAACTGCTCCTTATCTAGGAAAATGACGCAAGAGAACATACTAGTGTTGGGCAATGGTGTACATTACAGCTGAAATGTATAGCAGAAATATATGTAATTCGTGTGGGGTAAGACTACTCATCGCGGTTGATGCGTCTTAACCTGTTTGTTTGTTTGTTATTGAATTTCGCGCAAAGCTACACCAGGGCTATCTGCGCTACCCGTCCCTAATTTAGCAGTGTAAGACTAGAGGGAAGGCAGCTAGTCATCACCATCCACCTCCAACTCTTGGGGCTACTCTTTTACCAACGAATAGTGGGATTGACCGTCAAATTAGAACGCCCCCACGGCTGAAAGGGCGAGCATGTTTGGTGTGACGGAGATTCGAACCCGCGACCCGCAGACTGCGAGTCGAGCACCCTAACCACCTGGCCATGCCGGGCCTACGTCTTAACCTAAACCACTCCTCGTAAAGCAATGGCACCTTACAAAACAAATCAATGAAATCAAACTGTATTTCTTTCACGGCATATTAGACTGTCTATATTTCGTCATTGTTTGAAATTAACATAGTTAAATTCCCTGAAATATCAGCTTGTAGGCATAAAAATATTAAGTGCTTACTTCAGATCAAAGTTGCTAGAAAACAGCAAGTTAAAGTCGCGCTTTGATCATTCATATTAGTGCTCGTCCGCTAGTAAATTTATGTACAGAGACACGTAAAGAATAGTTAAATAAAATTCACTCTACATGACAGCATAAGTGATGATACAAGGTTGGCCGTTTTACCGTAGAGAACCGTCTTACCTCACTTTTCCATACCTTCTTCGATCTCTGTCACGTTCCTCTATAGGAAATTTATCATTTATGACACAGTAACAAAGTGGAATTTAAAAGGGTTGAACATCAGTGGCCATTAAGAAGGAAAACATATGTCATTCTGTTAAATACAAAAAAAATGTATAGTGCAAATTCTTCTCAAGTGTGTGGAAATTATCTCTTGTAATTTTCTGGAAATGTTTCTCATAGTATTCACTTCTCAGCAACTAACTGCTGAAAATACAATAATCCATATTAAATCCACTTCTTGAAATTTCACGACCAGCAATATTACATATTGCACCTTTTTTTATGGTAACGAGTGTTAACAAAATTCCGTAAACTGGCAATATTTCATTTAGTATTTGCTTCAAAGTAATTCACTGCTGATAATATACCATATTATAATCATTCTCAAAATCTCACTTCTGGTAACATTCAGCATTATAACTACTTCCTCTCAGTAAATAGATATAGGAAATATTCTACACTATGTACGATTCTCAGTAACCCACTACTGGTGAAACTACGTACTGTATATTCACTGACCCATAGTGTCAGTATTCAATATGTATGTAGCCCTCAGTTATCCACAACTGGTAATATTTCTTGTTGTGTATGATACTTACTAACCCATTACCGGTAATCTTCTTCTCAATAACACACCAAAGGCGATACTGCCTCAATGTAAGTTTTGTTAGTTGGAAAGTGTTTCGTTTCTATCCATAATTTTTCTTCTAAATTTCTTAATTAGAGTGTGTTGCAAACGTCATTATACCTTTAAAATTTCAGCAAGCTCACACTAGGTTGCGAACTCACAAATATCAAAATGTTATACGTGTTTATTCATACGAGTTCTTAAACAACAAAAGAAAAATATCTTCTTACAAACAAACTCGGAATACTTTCGTATTCGACTGACAAACCAATAAAATATATTAATCTTCTAGATGAAAAATACCAAGAATCAATAATACAGTAAATATGTCAAGAGAGATTTGGATGTGTTGGTTTCAAGTGTTAAACCTGCTACCGAGCATAATAAACCTGGTGAGAGTTTCAAGTGTTAAACCTGCTACCGAGCATAATAAACCTGGTGAGAGTTTCAAGTGTTAAACCTGCTACCGAGCATAATAAACCTGGTGAGAGTTTCAAGTGTTAAACCTGCTACCGAGCATAATAAACCTGGTGAGAGTTTCAAGTGTTAAACCTGCTACCGAGCATAATAAACCTGGAGAGAATGGTAAGAATAGGGGAACAAATATAAATTTACCAAGGTAGGATTCATATTCAGCTAATACAGCCTTATTTTTTTCTAACACGGCGGTTGGCCTTTGGTTGCCTTTAGATGTGGTAAATGTAGTTAATCTAAGGAAGTTTAAAGAAATGACTGATAAATACTTTGATGGTAAATGCTGTTTTTGAGTATTTTTAATCTTCAGTTTACTATACTAGATTGAACAACAGAGATGGACCAATAGGTCCCTTGTTGTCCTTAATATATGTATATTGGTATCTTTTTGAATAAGCGGCCCATCCAAAAAAACCCGTAAGGTTCATATACAGTCGTCCCTAATTTTAAATTACTAGCCAAAAGTAGGGAGCCAGTCAGCAACACCCACCGCCAAGACTTCGTCTGGTTTTTTGAATCGAATAACGGATTGACAGTCACTTTTATAAAATGACAACAGCTCACAGAACCAAGTGTATTCAACAACACCATGACCCGAACCTTGGGCCTTCCATTCCTCAGCCTGGCATATTAACCATGATATCACACCCGGCATTGTTCGAATGAATACAGTTTGTACTATTCCAATAAGAAATACAGAATTTATAACAGTAATATATTTTAATATTAATTTATAGTAGTTAATTTAAATACAGTTGTTTATACAAAAAAAAAAAGAATTCACAGATGTGCTTAATATAATTTAAAATTAGTTTGATCATACCAATTCGGAAGCTAATTCCGTATGAGCAAAAGCTTTTGGTAAATTTGAAAAGTAAATCCTATGAAAAACAAAGCTAAAAACAAAAGTCATATAAGAAATTCTCACCTTGGCAGAGTTTTGAAGGCAGTACTCCAAGCTTTTGTCGATGGGATCGTCAGTAAAAAGAGCAAATCCTGACTGTACGCAATCTCGTATACCAGATTCGGCGTTGATGGTCTGTATGAACTCTTCTACCGTGGAAGATCCATCAAAACCAACCACCTAGTGAATCAATAGGTATGTATGGAGTATGGAGATTGATGGAATTTTAATTGTCCTGTCATGTTTTCTGTGGAGGAAGAGGTTTTTAAGGTTTGTTTTGTTTATAATTTAAGAAAACTAACTGGCTTAGAGCTCATAGTTTATTATTTTATGCTTATTTTGTTTTGGTTTTCAGTACATATTCCAATTGAGTTTGTTTTTTATTTATGACGGTTTTGTAGAGATTTGAAAAAAAGTTTAAATTTGTTCAAGAAATAAAATTTTTTCTTAAAATCGTTTGTTTGTTGTTTTTTTTTAATTTCGCGCAAAGCTACACGAGGGCTAACTGCGCTAGCCGTCCCTAATTTAGCAGTGTGAGACTAGAAGGAAGGCAGCTAGTCATCACCACCCACCGCCATTCTTGGGCTACTCTTTTACTAACGAATAGTGAGATTGACCGTCACATTTTAACGCCCCCACGGCTGAAAGAGCGAGCATGTTT